TTGAGCCGAGGGCAGATGCTTAGCTGGCTGAGCCACCCAGGCCACTACTTAGAACACATTATTTGGCTCAGTCAAGTCCTGCCTCGACTTTATCAGGCTCTACCAGCCCGATTAATTACTCCCACCATAGTCTGGATGCAAATGATTTCTGCAAAGATAACAAATGAAGTTCCTCATTTGTTGTATTGTCTTTCCCTCACCTGTTTGATAATAATTATGAGGCTCAAAGTGTCTGTGTTAACATTTTGAAGGATCCTTCCACACCATAATGTGTCAAGGCCCTAGGTTATGTTCTCATGGCTCCTATACTTTCCCTCGTTAGCCTTTATGGCAATTGAAATTAAACGATTATTTGTATAATTATTTGCTTAATGTCTATAGTCCCACTAGGCTATTATTAGATAATGAACTTCCTTATGAAGAATAATCTCTTTTTTCATAGAAAGGGATAACAAAGCAAACAAGGTATGATGTTAATGCATTAAATTATCTCAACTTTAAGGGTCTCCCCTATTTTAGTCAGTTTGCGCTGCTATAACAGAATACTGTAAACTGGGTGATTTATAGACAACAGAAATTTACTTCTCCCGGTTCTGGAGGCTGGAAGTCCAAGGTCTTGGTGCCAGGTTCAGGTTCTGGGGAAGAATTCCAGCTTGCAAACTGCCACCTTCCCCTTGTATCCTCACAGGACAGAAAGAGGGAGCTAGCTCTCTGGCCTCTTATAATCCCATTCATGAGAATTCCGCCCTTATGACCTAATCACTTCCGAGAGGCCCCGCCACCTTATACCATCACATTGGAGATTAGATTTCAACATAGGGACTTGGGGGGAGGGGGATAGAAAGATTCAGTCCATAACATCCCTCACAAAGTTTTACTAAAGTGGTTGAATGGAAGTACTGTGTTTTGTTTTGTTTTTTAAGCTTATTTATTTATTTGAGTAATCTCTACACCAAATATGGGGCTTGAACTCACAACCCTGAGATCAAGAGTCACATGCTGTTCCAACTAAGCCAGCCAGGTGCCCCATGAAGTACAGTGTTTTGATTAAGGATGTGGGCTGGGAAACCAAGCTCTCTCCATTTGAGTCCTTGCTTTGCCACTGTGTGATAAAGTAGGTTGAGTGGGTTATAACCTCTCTATGCCTATACTGCTCATCTATAATATGGAGATAATTTTAATTTCTACTTTGTAGGGTCCTTATGGGGATAAAATGAATTAATATATGTAAATCACTTATAAGGGTGCCTGGCATATAGTAAGTACCTGTAAACATCAGTAGTGGTTATGTTTTCATTGTTACTCTTATATCAATGGTGCTTTCTATGGCCTATGTGTTCTCCCATTTCATGATATTCTGTACAAATTTAAGTAGTCCATAAAAAACACCACAAGTTCAAGGTGCTGCCATCTCAACATAACTGAGAAACATTGTCCCACCTGTTTTTCCTTGCACAAAATTGGGGCATAGGTACATGAAGGGGATGGAGGCACACATTCCTTGCTTTGCCCAAGGTCCACACTCCTGGGAAGGTACTCTCCCCAAAAACAGGAAATAGAGGGTTGGTCCTTGCCTTTTCTTTTCATTGTCAATTACATTAGAGTGGTGGCTTCAGATTGGGGGAGACCCTGTTCCACACAAAAAGTCAGGAGTAAGGATAAATAATATTATAGGGGCCAAGCTACCTAGTCGCTAAAACTGGTAATTAGCACCTTCTTTCAAACTACAGCTCTTCACCCCTGTGACTCTCCCCTCCCAGTAGCCTATTCTGTTTGTCCTCTTAAGGGAGGTGCTCTTCAGCATCACGGTGATACTATTCCACTTTCTCCTTTCCCTCATCCACAGCGGAAAGGATCCAGGGCTATCCCAGAAGCCCCTGCTTTCCTGGATTATCATATTCCACTGCCTGCCCACCCTACTCTATTTCCCTGGTCCCAGAATCCTGAGCTCTTCCTGCCTGGCCCCCAACACATACATGCATGCACACACACATACACTAATTTTCGGGATATCATCAAGGCCATGCTCTTTGTGCCTCACAATTACTTCCTGAGAGGGTGCCTGGGTGGCTCAGTTGATTAAGCGACTGCCTTCGGCTTAGGTCATGATCCTGGAGTCCCGGGATCGAGTCCTGCATCGGGCTCCCCGCTCAGCGGGGAGTCTGCTTCTCCTTCTGACCCTCCTCCCTCACATGCTCTCTGTCTTTCATTCTCTCTCAAATAAATAAATAAAATCTTAAAAAAAAAAACAAAACAATTACTTCCTGAGAAACCAATTCATACTTCTGGAGAAGACAGAGTACTAATAGTTAAGACCAGAGGCTTTGGATCCAGTAAGACTTGAGTTGGAATTTTGGTGTGAACACAAACTGTGTGACTGGGCAATTTGCTTAGCATTTTGGAGCATCATTCTTCCCCTTAGTAAAATGGGAATATCAATTCCTATTTCAGAGAGCAATTGGAATAATTCATTGAGATATGTAGATGGCACTTAGGGTAAGCCTTGTATACAATAAACAGGGCATATCTCCCTGTGCCCAATTGTCTTCTCTACCTGGTAACATAACTTTTATGCAGGTGATGCCTTCTATTTTGATGCCCAGAATCCCAAAGTGTTGTATTCACGATTCCAGCATCAGGAGCATTTTGGTGACCAAGCAAGAACAAAGATTGAGCAACAAGAGGTCTAAACTCGTAATTCCTGCCCAGCTGCTAACAAGTCAGGTGATTTTGGGCAAGGTATTGTCTCTGGTGGACCATTAGTTTCTTCTATAAAACGGAACATTGGACAAGATAAGCTTTTAAGTTTTTTCTAGTTCTGACATGCTATGATTCTATATGAAAGGGTCATTCTCTAAGTTAATTCTCTTATTTCTACTTAAGAACGTTAACTGATACATGTTTTCTCTTCCGAGACCTCTCGTGTACTTTTATCTTGACTCACATTTTCCATCTGCAAAAACGGTAGTTGAAGGCAGACTGTGAAATTGGTCATTCTGGGTTTGGATTTCAGTACCACCACTTGAATTTGGGCCAGTTATTTAGCTTTTTGGGCCTCAGTTACCTCATCTGTCAAATGGGTATAGATACAGGGTAAATGTGAAGGTGAAAAGAAAGCACTTAAAAATACATAACTCCAGGGGCACCTGGGTGGATCCGTCGGTTAAGTGTTGGACTCCTGATTTCGGCTCAGGTCATGATCTCAGGGTCATGAGACTGAGCCTGTGTCTGGCTCCATGCTCAGCGGGAAGTCTGCTTCCCTCCCTTTCCCCCTGCCCCCTGCTTGCGCACACTCTCTCTAATAAATAAATTTTTTTTAAAAAAGGAAATACATAACTCCAGAGGCTATAGTTTAATGTCCTGTAGGGTATCAACCAGTTTTTTTTTTCCTTTAACTTAGTGAACTAATTTCAGAATGCCTTTCTTTATGGACTATGAATACCCTGTTACCATCTTACTGGTTCTCTCATTCATGAATAAGTTGAATAAAATCTTTCATAGGTATTTTATTCCATTTTTGTATGAGAATCATATTTTTAACTTTTTGAAAATTATTCTTTGACAGATTCTGACTAACTCTGTCTTAAGACACTGTCCTCAATAGTTTGACATTGGCAAATCTTGCTTTGCTAGAAATGCGGATTAAGTTATTAACCACTGGGTTTCCATTTTTAGACTTCCTGGCCCCTTCTTCCCTCAGTTAGCAAGAGCAGGGCCTGTGGGGGTGACAATGAGGAAAAATCCCTTGGAGGAGTCTCTACCCAGTGGAAAAAGAAATAAGCAAGCAGCAAGATGAGCCAAGTGAAAAGAGATACTTTCATTGTGGCCTTTACATTTATGGCTAGCAAGATAATGAAGGAAGGTAATTCTGAAAGCTTTATGTCAGTTTTAACGGTCCCTCAAGCACTGAGAAAGATAATAGTCAATGGATGGTGTCCATAAGGATTTTTTCTTCTCCCCTGACAGCCATTGACAGGATCATTTTGTATTTGCAACCGCTATCACTGAAGCATGGAGAAAAAAGCCCTGTAGGGCCAGGAGGATGAGAGCGACTGCCCTGCGGGATCTGTATTGTCATCACTATGGCAATAATAGTTACTATAATTTTCATTCTGCTTTTCCATAGTCTACTTTGTGGAGCTCAAGGCTATGAGATTTGGGTCACATAAAATCACACTAGCATAAAATCATGCTTTGTAGTCTTGCAAGAGTATTTTATGAAACTGCACAGAGAACCTATGCAACAAGATAAAAATAATTACCAATGCAGGTCACTTGACTAATACAATTATTTATGGGATGCTAATAGCTTTTCGGAGGCTTTCAGATACAGTGTCAATTTGACAATCTTTTTTTTTTTTTTCTTCTGTTTGGATTGTTAGACCACTGCCCGGTATTTCTCCCCAAGGACATGGCTTATCATTTCAGGGGGGAAATGTAAATTAATTGCAAATCAGCTCTCAGTCCTCGTCTGGTAGTTTCTCTTTAGTATCTGCAATTAAATAACAAGGACAGGAGCCTTGCCTTCTGTTTCATTTATGCACAACCTGGTCTCCTAACACCGCGCCGTCCGCTTAAAGTTTCAGTGTTAATTAGCTTTCCGACAGAGAGCATTAGAGACATCTAATACTTTCAAAGTATCACTCTGCGGAAAAGGCCTCTGTGAATGAAGCAGGTGAATGAAGGAAGGTCACAGGTGATGTTAGGGTGGGATGAAAAATCTCCAAGAGGGACCTCCAGGTCAGGAGAAACCAGCCGGAGACAAAAGGGGTGCGAAGAAAAGAGGTGAAAATGAGAAAGACAAGTAAAAAGAAAACCAGCGATTGAACGAACTACAAGAAAAAACAGCCAGACGAGTCAGACGAAAAGAAAGAAGTCGAGAGTCAGCGGTGGTTCAGACAGTAAGCCAAGACGCGCGGAGGAGCGGAGGTTACAGCCCAGAATCCCTTGCGGCGCCTCCTTCCCTGGCGTCAGTCTCCTAGGCAACCCCGGTAAACAAGATGGCGACCGCCGGGAGCGATCCCCAGTGGCCGATGTCTTCCTCTCTCCAGAGCAGTCCACGAACTGGAGCCCAGTGGATTCTGCCGCGCTCAGAAAAAGAGCGTCAGTCTTGCTGGTCTTCTTTTCCCATGGGGCAGAGACCGACAGGTACTTTCCATAAAGCCTCCTCCTACCTGCTCCAGCAGCTCATTCACCGCTCTCGGGAGTCGGACGCGGACGGAGAGGAATACGAGGACGAGGGCGAGGGCGAAGTGGAATCCGAGGAGTCCTCAGAGTCCGAGATGCTGAATTTGGAGGTGTGCCTTCCCCCCGCCCCCACCCCCTCGCTCCCTTCTCCAGCCGTCGGGCCCTGCTACTTCGGCGGCAGCTTCCCCACGCACCCCTCACCAGCCCTCGGGCTCTCGCCGCCGGGAGCGCCTCTCCCTGACCACTCCTAGGCTCCTTCTCCTTTCTTCCCGTTCCCTCACCCTTTGCCAGGCACATTTCCAAGTGTCTCCCTTTTTTGTCACTAGCACATTTGGTGTCTTAAGAGTCAAGTTACACAGCGTCCTGATGAAAAAGTTTCCACCTATTTGTATGGGGAGTTACAGCTTTAGCTTTTAAAACCTGTGCTTCGACGGTATTCTGAACGGGCAGAGCTCGTCTTTGGCATCCCCTGCACCGTTTTCCGTGATTGTGAAGTACACCACCACTCTCCCGCACTTCCAGTCCCTTCATCCTCCTTCCTCCAGGGGGGAAAAAATTACTTTCCTGAAATAATCTGGTAAGGGCTAACTCAAAGACCAAGCGAGTTGAAAGTCTAATGCATTACTTCTGCCAGGGGTATATAATGCATTACACAAGCAACACACACCCCCCCTTCCAGTGTTCAAACAGCCAGCTCACTGTGGTAGTGTTTTCGGAGGTGGAGAATGTTTCTTACCTTCCATCTGTATTGCCTGAGGTGTGGCTTTGCCTTCACATTACTATAAATTCTCTTTTCTACAGTACCTCTTCTACCAATTACACTTCTTTCCTGCACTGATCATCATCGTATCCTTTTTACCCCACTGCCTGTTTTTTTTGGTTTGGGGTGGGGGGTGGTTTGGGTCCCCTTCCACCTCTTACCACTTCCTTCCTTTGGCTTCTAATATATTGTTTGCTTTTTTTCAAAAACATAAGTTGATTTGCTTCCTTTCAATAAACTGTTGGGTTTTCCTCTTTGTCTTGGCTTCCAGGAAACTCAGAATATTTTTCTTAATTTTAATGGTTTTTCTCTAGGGTTTTCTCTCCCCTTTCCTCTTCCTTCATGGTATAAACTGCTGCAAAATCTTTTCTGAAGTAGATATAATACAGAGAAATAGAATGTTTCCAGTACCCCTGTTCTGTGATATTCTGGCTTCCCTGCTCTGCATCTTTGTGCATTTTCCTAGTCCCCTCTTCGCCTTGAGGCCAAATATGTTTTTCTTTGTTATTCCCATTCTCTTTCACAAACTCCTTTCCTCATTTGTCGTGTTTCTTCGTATTCACCTGTCTGTAATTTGCACTGTCTTATGTTCCTCTGATTTTACCATTAACCACCTACATTCTTTTCCCACTTAGGTTCCCTTCTTTCGTAACGTCCTTTTATCCATTTTCAACATTTGGCCCATTTTTCCACCCTTCTCTCCCATTTTGACTTTCTTCTTCTACCTCCTCCTATATGGGCTGGTTACACATTAGTTTTTCTTAAAGTGGACGATAGAAAATTATTACTTATGTTATTCCTCTTTTGTTGATCTACTTTGCTACCCTTAACAGTGATAAATGCAAAACTGTAGCAGTGTTTTTACAACTTGGAGATGTTTGTATGGTTTCTACCAGCGTCCACCCCAAAGGAATTCACAGATGAATCACCGGTTTACTTTATTATTCTAATTAACGCATGCTCTTGGGCTATGGGCTTCATTAGTGCTGGTATTAATCTGTCTTCAGTATGCCATTAACAAACCATAGGGGGGGGGTTGACTTGAATTGGTTATCCCTCGCTTGTAGGCTGTGTGTGGAAAAGTTTAGTTTTTCTTCCACTTATGTTGTAAATATTAATATTTATTTTGTGTTCTTACATCCTATTTTAGCTTTTTAGAGTATCTAATAAATTTTAATAGGCTGAATAAACTGAAAACTTTTGAAAGGAAAACTTTTAAAAGGATTTAGACTTGCATGTTCAGAGATTTATTATCCATCTCCTTGCCTGGCTAAGGTTTATAATGCTATGATGGTCACAGTGGTTATTGAGTGCCTATAGTGTAATTAGTCTCAGAAGCCCCTGGTGAACTTAAGGTAGACCAGCTGTTCAGAATACTGCCTTTGATTAGTTTTGAGATTTTGAGCAAGTTATTTCACTTCTATTCTCCTCTGTAATCTGGGAATTCTAATAATACCTATCTCATAGGAGAGTTGTGAGAATTAGATGAGAACCTATTAAGTAAAACACTTACCATAATATTTTTACTGATACAATAATAACACACGTGTTTTTTATCTGCTAACTATAGCTCATTAAGTGATTTGATTAATTTCACTGACTTGAGCAATCAGTCACTGAATGATTGCTATGTAGGAGCCACTCTGACTACATGACATGTGTCTGGTACATGGAAACTACTCTGCCAGTAACTTAATGTGGGTAATGTCTACTCATGGGATAGTTATAAACATCAGATTGGATAAGAAAGTCTGTTAAAGTTCTTGATACAGTGTCTGATACAGAGTAGGTTCCTAAAAGTTACAGAGGTAATGCCTAGTAGCAATAGTAATGACAGAAGAAGACGAGAACGTCACTGAGGACATAGGTGTCCCCTGCACTCAAGGTCAGATAAGGATGTGAGTAAATCACAGCTATTGAGTATCTGAAGCATTATACACAGGTGTGTACAGATGACAGCTGGATTGCAGAGATCCATGGCAGACTTCGAGGGAAGCAGACCCTTGTCTGGGTGGAGAGGGGGTGTGTGGGCAGGCACATAGCCCCTGTTCCTACTGATGACTTATAGGTGAGAGCAGAGAAAGCAGCTGAGGCAGGGGCCAGATTGTGGAGGGTTTTACGCTGTTTTACAGACCATGGAACTTGGGTCTCTAAGCAGTGGGGAGCTGCCCTGGTAGCTGCCCCGACTGGCGTTAGATTAGAGGATGGTAAGACTGGAGACAGGGATATCAATGAGAAGACTCTAGCAATGTCTACGGAGGAGAGGCAAGAGTCTGGATTAAGGAAGTGGAAGTGGGAATGGAAAGGAAGCTAAAGACAAAGACATTTAAAATATTTAATGTGGGACAGTTACTAATATTGGAAGTCTAGGATGACTGCCAGGTCTCTGGCATGGTCTGGGGACATATTAAGGCCATTCACCACAATAGGAAATGGGATACCAGCTGCACACGAGTCAGATATATGAATCACATGACTCTGGAAATCGGGGAGGGGCCTCAGGGTAGGAGACCTGGGATCATCAGCATTGGGGTCTGTGAGATCATCCGGGAAGAGAAGAGGAGGGTCAAGGGAAGAACCGAGGGGGTACAGCAGATGAAGAGGCATCAGGGAAGGCAACAGGAAAGGAATGGTAAGCGGAGGAGGAGAAGAAAGAAGGGCTGTGTGAGGGGAAGCCAAGGCAAGGAAGAGTCTCAAGAATGTGGAAATGAGTTGTGCTGCCAGCAGGTTAAGTGGAAAGGGCCCTAAAGAGTGCTCACTAGCTTTGCCCATTTGAGGGTGATTGGAGACCTTGGCCCATGTGGTTTTGTGATGTGGCGAAGGCAGAAGCCTAACTCACGTGCACTGAAGAGTGAATGGGAGGTGAGCAAGGGGGCACTAAAGAATGGAAAAGCAGCTCCGCAGTAGCTCGGTTATTTAGGGAAGCTGTAGCTGTAGCTAAAGGAACGTGCGGGACCGAAGGGACGCACAGACTTGCACCGCTGGAGAACTGACAGGGTGCAAAATGATGGTGGCGAGAGACTGGCTGAAATCCCAGGCAAAGAGGGCAAAATGGAGGGTCCCCAAGCAAGGTCCCTGAGGAAACAGGAGGTGGGGGCCCTGAGTGCAGAAAAGAAGCAGGCTGCCTCTGACACCCGAATGAAGGGCATTTGGACAGGTGCAGAACCCTGATGGGGTTGGCGTCTGATCACTTCTACTTTGCCTTGGAAGTGGAGGAGCAATGTATCTGCTGAGAGTGAGGTCAAAGGAGTGGAGGCACCCAGAGGCTCAAGGAGAGGATGAAGATCTGGCAGCCAAGGTGGGAGCTGATGAAGAACGAGGGACTGGAACAGCAGCCTGCCCAGCTAACAGCTGACCCCTGAGTGGTACCAGCAAGCATGGTTGTGGGGCCCCTCCCAGCCCACTCACTAGCTCAAGGGCAGGAGCAGTTTTTATTCACTCAGCCGTGTTTGAGCACCTACCGGGTACCAGGCACCATCTTGCCCCGCCTGCTTTATGCTTCAGCTGTTTTGAACTCTGGTTCCCCAATGGGCCGTGTTCACTTTTGCCTTTGGAGTTTTGTACCTGTTGCCCTTTTGCCCACAGTACCCTTCTTGGTCCTCTTCTCCTGCCCTTTCTTCTCCTTTGCCAGAGTAACTCAGTTACTTGTGTCTCAACTTCATTGCTTTCTCTCCCAGCAAGTCTTTGCTAACCTCCTAATTCCCCCTAGAACTGACATAAAATGGATGCCCTGCTTATAGTCAAAGCATCCTGCTTACTCGTATTGTAATATCTATCAAACTACTGAAATTGCTTGTGTACTTGTCTGTCTCCCAGATTGAATTGTAAATCCCTTGAGGATAGGCACCATGTCTTATTCATAAATCTGTTCACTGAGCCTAGCATACTGGCTGGCATGTGCCTGGCATGCTATAAAGATTTTTGTCCCAAATGAATGATGAGCATGACAGAGTCCCTGCCTCAGAGCAGTAGTTGATTGTGTACTTGATTCAGGTTTGGGTATGTGTGCGGTAGTTTGAGTCAGGGGGACGAGGAGTCAGAGACTTAAGGGTAGAGAGACATTGAAATGGCCCAGGGGATACCAAGCAGGGAAGGAAGTGAGAGGGGACAGATAGACTCCGAGAGAGGAAAAGATGAACAGACCGGAGATTTTGTTGTCATCACAACAGGGTCAGTAGGGGTTGGAAAGGTTGTAGGATCACAGAGGAGAATACTAGGTTCTGAGGTTTCTAAGGTGGAACAGTTCAGCATGATGACTTGGTCCAGGGCATGGCCATGGGGATGAGTGGCTGAAGCTGAGTAGAGATCAATTTAAAGTTGATTGTGGAGATGAGGAAGAAACATGTGTGTGTGCGTGAGTGCTTGGGAGTAGGAGGGGGATTGAATGGCCATCCTTAGGCTCTGAAGCCACCCAAGATCAAGCAGGGCTTGTAAAGGTCTGAAAATGACCAAAGATCAGAAGGGAAAAGCATGATGCTGATAAGTGGCAAGAACCTCAACGGAGGTGTGAGGGGGTTGCCATGGGGAGGCTTGCCTTGGGGATCTGGGAAAAGGCTGACCAGCATGCCGGTCTCCATATCAGTAGCTATGTTGAAAGACAGACATTGACCTACTATCAGTCAGGGGTGCAATATCTTCTCACACCAGGAAATAGAGGCAGTGGGTCAGGTAAATTTCAGAGGTTTAGATGGAAAGTTTTGGAGGGAAGGTAACACCCCCACCTCTAATCCTTCCCAGGCCTTGTATAAGAAGTTGGAACTATATTTAGAAAAGTGAGTGTCGGGGTGCCTGGGTGGCTCAGTCGTTAAGCGTCTGCCTTCGGCTCAGGTCATGATCCCAGGGTCCTGGGATCGAGCCCTGCATCGGGCTCCCTACTTGGCTGGAAGCCTGCTTCTCGCTCTCCCACTCCCCTTGCTTGTGTTCCCTCTCTCGCTGTGTCTCTCTCTGTCAAAATAAATAAATAAAATCTTTCAAAAAAAAAAAAAGAAAAGTGAGTGTCTTTCTTCCATTTGTAAACAGGTTGATTGGTATGGAAGAATGAAACAGTAAGATGCGGAATTTCCAACTTCATCTATTAGTGGAAACAACTGTCATTTATTGGGAACACTTGCTGTAGTTCTAGGCAAGGCACTAAGAGCTTTACACTGTTTTTTTTTTTTCATTCTCCCTAAAGCATTAAGAGAAGGTAATAACATTTCCTATTGCAGATATGAGGCTCAGAGTAAACTTTATCTCCCCAAAGTCATAAACTGAAAATGGCAGATCGGGGGTTCAAACCAAGCCTGTCCAGCCTCACAGCCTGTGTGCTATCTCCATATATATCCATGAGAGATATTTGCTTCCTTGGGCTACTGGAGGTGGAGGGGGGGCACAGAGAAACTCTTTCTAGTAGCACAAGCCCATGTACTTACGGCCTCAATACCAGCAGCCTGAGCAGCATTGCTGGTTCCTGAATTAATATAGAACTGGAAAGAGTATTTTGCCATTATTGTCCACATGCTAGTCACGGTTAGCTATATTGGTGTGACTGATGGGATTACTGGATTTTGTGTCCTCATGCTGATGTTAGTGTTAATGTGTTGGTCATTATAGAGTTGAAGGCAGTGCAAACCTAACACCGATATACCTGTTGTCTCTTCTGTTTGTTATTTTTGGGGAAAGCGCATTTTGACTCATCAGTGGTTCATGGCTTTCAACAGACCAAGGGCCAACCTCCTTATGGCAGTGATTGTTACCCTTTTAATAAATCTTGTAAATTGTGTGAATCCAGTAAAATTAGCTAATAAGTAAATTGAGAACCTGTTTTGTTTGTTTTATTTTTTCCCAGCAAGAATACCAGATTTAGCAAAGTAATTGCCTTAATTTGGATGTAACCATCTTTTTGGGTGGAGGCCAGCAGTCTAGTATAGTGGTTAGAAGTGCCCTGGAATCAGACAGATTCAAGTTTGTGTTCTGGCTCTGTCACATACTAGCTATGTGGTTTTAGGCAAATTAACCCCTGTAAGCCTTAGTTTCCTCATCTGTCAAATGGAACTAAGAGTACCTACCTCAGGGTTATCAGGAGGATTCAATGAGTTGATCACTGAAAACTCTTGATGCCTGGAACAAAGAAACACCATTAATGGTGATGCCTCCGCTGCTGTTGTGTTGATTTCACTTTGAATGCCTAATGCAAGTGACCACCAGAAAATTCGGTGGCAATGAAAACACCGATTTGATAGGTATTTGTATGTCCTATGTATGTGTCTTCAACATAGAATTTTCTTTAGGGCTGATAAATTCTGGAAGGGTCAGCTCCTGATTATGTAATGTACTAAGTGCTGGCTATGAGGAGGTGAACTGTTTCTTTTCTTTTTTTTTTTTTTTTAAAGATTTGTCCATTTGAGAGAGTTGAGAGAGCACTAGAGAGCACGAGCAAGCGAGAGCAGGGGGCAGGGCAGAGGGAGAGAAAGACAGCCTCAAGCAGACTCCCCACTGAGTGCAGAGCCTGTTATGGGGCTTGATCTCATGACCTCGAGATCATGACCTGAGCTGAAATCAAGAGTCAACACTTAACCTAACTGAGCCACCCAGGCACCCCTGGACTGTTTCTTTTCTAATGGAAGTCCTTTGTCCGCCTCTCTGGTTTTTTGTTTTTGTGTGTTTTTTTTTGCAGGAGGAATTTGATGGGGTCCTGAGAGAGGAGGTCGTGGCCAATGCCCTTCACCAGTTGGGGCGCTCAGGCTCCGGGACTGAGCAGGTCTATCTCAATCTAGCTTTATCAGTGAGTATGACAAGATCACCATGGGCTTACTGGGCTACATCTTGATACTGGTTGGACCATATCTGTTTTTTCTGGTACTCATAGCTTTTGTGGTGGCCCCAGATCTCAGAGTCTTTCATTTGATGGAGACTGGTGATAAGACTTATTTATGTTATATGAGGTATCAAATCAAAGAGCTCTGGGCAGTCCAGTAATCAGCCCCTGAATTCCTTTGTTTTCATTCCCATCAGTCTGTTTCTTTCATCTTAAGTAGTCTGTATTATAGTAATCAATGCTTTCTTTCCAGAAGTTGAATTTGACTCTGTGAAACCAATCAAAAACTCTTTAAAAATTTTCTCTCTGATCAGTGCCAGGACTAAAATTAATATCTAAATCCAAGGGAACAAAGTATTTTGGTATTGACTCCCCCCCCCGCCCAAGTATGTCAAGAAATAAGTAGCTTTCAGCCACAGTTCACTTTCCAAAAGATACCCCATTATTAAAGAAAAAAATGTGTTGTTCAATTTTCAAGATATCAATACTAACACATAATCTTGGCTTCACTTTTTAAGGGAAGCTGTAAGAGCAAAGTACTCATCATTTTTCAAGTTCTTTCTTCCTTTTGTTTCTCTATAGTCCTAGAAAAATAATTTAACTCTTTTTGCTTCCTTATATTGTAAAGTATTAAATATTCCTTGGAGATCCACACAGTAAATACAGATACATAGGTGAAAAAAAGCCCGCTGAAATTTTGCTACTGTACTGTAATTTGGCTAAAGTATATATAATTCACAGCAAGCAAAGCATATACAACTCATAATCTTGGTCCATCTTGGATTTGAGCTAGTAAACTATCCAAGAAATGTTAAGCTCTTTCCACCCATGCTGGTTGCATGGCAGATCCTTTGAGGACAGCATATTAAGGCTGTAATCTTTTACTGTTTTCACTTTATAACATTTTATGGATGACTCAGCCAGTTAAGCAGAAACTTACAGGGAGCATCCTGTGTACACTGCCCTGTGTCGGGCATTGGAAGGGTAGATAATTCCAGCATCCAATACATCCCCGCACAAGTCCATTTCAATCAATATTCTACTTATGTACGTAGTGCTATGCCTTAAATTGATCTGCAGAAAAAAAAAAAAGATCCTTTAAATCTTATTTCAGCTAGATGGACTGATGCTTAACTTACCTTGCCCCTGACCTCCTTACATTTGAGATATTACATATTGAATTACTTTGCCTTTATAACCTGTCTTACTGCATACACTTTCTTATGGTTGCCTGGTTTGGTGATTTTTTCCCCCCTTGTATCTTATGTTACACATTATTTTTTACTTTTTCTTTTTTTTTTTTTTAATTTTTTTTTAAAGATTTTATTTATTTAT